TGAGCGAGCACAATATAGACTCATTCAGTCAAACGCAATTGAAAGGCCCCAGGAAATTCTTTCTGTAATTATTGACGGGGCCGACCAGGCGAAGTTTGGACTACCGCGCTTCTACACGACGACAAAATGAGATACGGGGAAGCCTCTAAAGCAGAAGGTCACTGGTGTTTGCTATCACGGGGCACTTTCTGGACAGCATTTCGTTTGTTTTTTCACGTCAGCCGACAACATCCCCTCAGGTGCGAATCAGACAATTGATGCGCTATGTCGCTCACTTTTTCTGTTGCGAGATGCAAAAAGAGCTCAAGGTATGAGTTGTTTTCCGAAAGAGCTGAATGTTCAGCTGGATAATACATCAAAAGACAACAAGAATCGCTTCTTTTTTGCATTTTGTGATTACATGGTGCATAAAGGGCTCTTCAACCGCATTGTTGTTAACTTTTTACCGGTTGGGCACACACATGAGGACATTGACCGCCGATTCAGCCGAATTTCTGTCTTCATGCGGGATAGGAATACAGCCTGTGTTTCGGAACTTCACAGGCACATTGTTGAAAGTCAAGGGGGAAACTCCGCGTCAGTACAAAACAACATACATGCTAGCCGCGTCTCTGGGATGAACAATTTTTCAGGTGCTTGTGATAAACAAAGTGCAGTTGCGTCGAGAAACAACAACATGCTCGCATTCAGAGAGTTTGTCTTCGAGCGGGATGATTCTCATGAGCTCGAAGGAGGTGGTGCTCATGTTACCTGCCTGGTCGGGTACAAAATGGTGGAAAAGAGGGAAGCGCTTCAAAAACTTGATAGAACCGAAGGATTCATTGGTTCTTTCCTCCATTTTGTTCCAGATATGAGAAAAGCACCAGTCATACAAACAAATAAGCCCTCCAAAGTTGACATCAGCGCGTATCGCAAGCGCATAAATGTGACAGAGAATAGAATTGGATGCAGAGAAAATGTTTTATCACTTCTTTCTGAAATAGACTCAATGGAAAGCAAGGAGTCCGCCCCGCCAGAGTGGGACTTCCAGCATTTTGCTTCTTTTTGCGATGATTGCGGCGAAGTTGAGGCATCACATGATGATTCGGAAACCGAATTGGCACTGGAGGACACGTGCTCATATGATAGAGGCAGCATGGTGACTGTGAATTGCGGATCAAACGTGACCGAAGTGACACCATTTTGGTTGGGAAGAATTGAACATGTTGAGAATGCAAATAGCAACAATATCGTTTTAACTGTGCGGTGGTTCGAACTTGTACAGGGACAGAAAGGAGGAAGCTTATGCTACACTGGGCGTTACGCCCCGATGAAACAAAACGATCAATCACAGAGTGATATACCCTCTGCGGCAGTTCTCGTTTACTTTCCAGACTTGAACACGACCGGTAAGATTCCGGATGTTGTCCAGCGCCTTACTAGGGAAGCACTAGACCCATTTGGAGAATGTTGAACACCCTCCGGGTATTTACCAGACATTGATGCATGTTATGCTGTGAGCGGCTGTGTGTTCGCTCATGACACTGCACTGCACGCGCCCCAAAAATAAACGAATATACAAGGAAAGGTTTTTGGACGTAGGGAATGGGAAATTCGTACCCAGCACAGTAGTCACCTTTTATAAGAAGCCGAGGCCGCGCAAAATCGTAGAGCTTTCCGATGGCGTCTTAATTGCTCTCTACGAGGAGTACACCTTTGTCTCAGATTGGAAAGTCGCTCTGCAGCAGGCGTACAAGAAGTATGGCGAAACCCGACGCGCTCTCGTCCTCGACGTCGGTGCCCAAGGTCAGGAGCCATGGATGACCGATATCCTCCCCGGCGTCGTCGTTACCACCACCAGCCATCTCGGTCCGTACTATCTCGCCCCTTCCTTGTCCTCCGTCTTTGAGATTGTCTGTGCACCCTACTAATGGCTCGCGCAGGGGTTGGAGATGGGCTCCCAGAACATTGTTATCATCATCGCTCGCAACGCAGTCTCCGACCGCTATCTGCCTCTCACTGCCGTTGCCCTTGTCGCCCGCGCCTACCTGACCTACTTCAGTATCTACAAGAATGGTGTCGACGCCCTTGATCATTTCATGAATCTCGTCAAGAAGTCAGGGATGTGCTCAGAGCGTCAAATGGAGCAAGATATCACAAGCGTTCCCACCTTGTAACAATATTTACGATTCTTCACAATGATGCGAATCCGCCCCGTCCTCCCCAACAACCGCCCCATACAAATAGCAAAGATTCTCGTCCAGGGAACTGTCAAGATTGATGACCAGCCCTGGATTCCCATTGTACGCATATTTCAAGCAGGTCGGAACCAGACCAAAGAGTGCACCACTATTCTGCAAGAGGACAATGGTCTGGGAAACGATGCCATGATTGGTACAGGTTATGCTTCATTGGCCACCAACGAGGTCATTTCAGGCGATACCGTTCTTGTATTCGAGCACTGGGTCCCTATTTCCGACGACACCAAACCACCTTTTACAACTACAGGTCACACAGGCTTCCTCCAACCTCCGTATCACTTCGTGCGCTTTCAGGATGTCGAATGGCCCCACCTCTCGCGACAGAGTTTGAGACAATTGATGACTTCGGTGTCGACCTATTCTTCGAATACCTGGAACCACCTGAGGGTGTCTCCATAGACGACTTTTCCGACCAAGCTCTGGAGTGATATGAAGAAAAGTATAGCGTGGAAGATGCAGACTTGCTTGGGCGTGCCGCCGATCTCAACGAGATTGTTCAAGAGATAGTCCTACAGTCGAAAAGCTTTGAGAAAGTGTTGGTCGCGATTCTGACCGTCGGTAATTTCTTAAAGCTGGAACAGCGAAGGGATCAGCGCGCGGCTTCAGACTTGAGACCCTCCACAAGCTGTCTGAAACGAAGGGACGGGGCCGAGGCTTTAATCTACTTCACTATATAACTGACATGCTCTTCGCGAATCGATAGCCTCTCAACCAGATCCAAACAATCTCAATCGACTATCTTAGCGGTGCAAGTTGTGATAGAGCGCTTCACCAAAATTGGAACTGAGGACATTACCCATGAGAATGTTGTACGGGGATATGGCCAAACACGGGGGTGCAGTGCGATCGATATCATGTTTGAAGAATAACTCGCGACTCTTGCTCACGGCTTCGGATGTCCAGTTGCTGAACACCAATGACTTAGGCTCTGGGCATGCTGCAAAGACATGTCGGGGGCATGAAGGGTTGGTTCTGAGTGCGGCCGGGTCAGATGATTCGGACTTTATTGTGAGTGGGGGAGTGATAGGACTGTCAATATTTGGGATCGGCGGATGGGGGAAACTTTGTATATCTGTAAGGGACCCCGAGATTCGGTTTGGGGAACGACGTTTGAAATGAAGGGGATGAAGACAGTAGCGGTTTATGATGATGGGTCTATTAGCGCTATAGATTGCAGCGGCAAGGTTTGATCAAAGCGAAATTCAGAGGCACGGAAGGAAGTTTAGTGAACCCCGAGCACCGAACGCGGAGTTGAACATAACGAAGCTGGGAAGCCAATGTGTACTAAGATGTCGGGATGTGTCGACTAGACGATTCAACTTTATTGTACAACCCAGTGGAGAAGGTGGCAAAGGGCAAGGTGAGGAGATGGGCTTAAGGAACTAGCATGCTAATAAATGAGAAAGTGGTATGACGCCTCTTTCGTAGAAGAAAGCACGATGTACAAGAGTGTTGTACAAATACAGAAAAGTATACAGGTAGACCAGGTGGAGCGAGAACCGAAAAAGGAGGGCATGAGGGTGGCGTCTTGGTGTGAACAAAGTTGCGAAAGAAATGTGCGCAGTACTGGCTTGGCGAGCAAGTACTCCTCGACGAGGACGTCGTCGAGCTGCAGCGAGTCGAGCTCGTCCTGCAGGCCGAGGACCGCGGCTCGGACATGAGCGAGCGGCCCGGGCCGGAGTCCATGAAGTCGACCTCGGAGAAGTTGCGCGACTGGATGCGGCGGTGGGAGCCGCCGGGGGCCTCTTCACCCCCCTACAGGGGGGTTAAGAGGCGATGGTTGGGGGTCAGAGGTGCAAGGGGCGGGAAGTGAGAGGGTAAAGAGGTGGTGATAAGATGCGGCAAATGTGTGGGCGGGTGGAACGGGGAGAAGCGGTCGAACTGTTAACGGTTGGCTGCCAAACAGGCTAGACGATCCGAACAATGTGTGCACGAGCAAGCGACGGAGTGAGAGGAGGGAGGCAAGGCCGAGACTAAAACATTAAGCGACAGGCTCTGAGAAGATGCGATGTCTTCTTCCTATACAAATATTTTATGCCCCATCAAGGCGAATTTACATCTACTTGTGTGAGCCTTTCCAACTAGTCACGCACTTCATCAACATGCTGTACGTAATAATTGGCTGAAGTGCTCTTCCGTTCAACTGTACATGTGTGAACACTAATATTCTTCCCGTCAGCATTGCGATATATTTATTTAAACATGTCTTCATCGGTTAGGTCGTCACCAATAGAACAAACCCAGTCCGGCGCCTCACCCTCGACATCGAAGCGTCTCAACACTTCAGCCACTGCTGCTCCTTTGTGCACCCCTCGCGGTCGAACGTAAAGGAGTTTTTGCCCCATCAAGACCTCCATCGGACTGCCGTGTAGCACCTCCTCGAGCGCTTGCCGAGCATCATGTGCTCGACTGACTGCGAGATTGCATATAGCTGGCATCTCTGAAATGCCAGCTATATGCAATCTCTTTCTGCGACATTGCCTCCGCACTTCATGGGTCAAGATTGTCGAATCTGTAGTTCATCGACATAAAGGTAGAGGAGATTGATCTACATCATGACTCCAAGGAATTATTCACTCTTTGAAACCGTGAATTTCACAGTTTCACAAAAATTACACACTTTGCTGCAGTGCGCAAAGAATAAATATACTTTCCCGAATTGGCGACCTATGTCTAAAAGCCATAAATAGGCTTAAATTCGGCTTAGGCAATATTCAAACGCAGTTCTTTTTAAGAAGGAAAAATCTTTTTAATAACCAATCACTGTTTACCCCCATTCTCGAAAACATTCCGTCCTTCGTCTCTCTCTGTCCCATCAAGGAACCGTAGCGCTTGTATTAAGCCGGTGACCGGCGCGAGGTCCATCGGACTCGGGGCTAGTTTCACCCGGTCTCGTAAAACGCGCTCCCCTTGATCGTCAATGGCGATCACGACTGTACCTTGATCAGACCTCTTCACTGCGTAGGGTCCCGTAGCGACTTGAGCAAGCTTGTGTTTTGGCTCGCTCGCCGTCCCTTGTTCCTTTCGTAAGAACACGTAGGATCCCACAGGGATGTCGTACTTCGGCCTGCGAAGTCTTGAATCGAAATTCCGCTTGTACCGTGCCTGTTCCTTGCGCAGACTCTTATCGGCACTTCTCATCAAGCTCTCCAACCACGACTGCCATTTCAGGTAGTACGCTCGATTCGAGCTAAATCCTTCCAAACTTGGATGTGCTTGTAACGCAATGCTTCTCGGCGCCCGAGCTAACACCAGCTCGAAGGGCGCGATGTTCGTAGTTCGATGAACTTGCGTGTTGTATGCGAACGTCACAGCGTCGCTAAATAAGTCCCAGTCCTTGGGATGCTCTCCAACATATTTTCGCAACGCGGAAGTCAGCGTGCGGTTAAACCTCTCAACTTGGCCGTTGGCTTGCGGGTGGTACGTAGTCGTGAACACATTGCGTATGCCGAGAATTCGGCAGACGTTCTGAAAGAACCGGGCCGTGAACTGTGTTCCATTGTCGGACAGCAGCTTGACCGGCGGTCCGTACACGAATACCCAATGGTGAACGAAGACTTGTGCGATGTGCGCAGCTGATATCTTCTTCAACGGTACGGTTCGTACCAGTTTCGAGTATCGATCGCTGATCACGAGAATATACCGATTTCCTCGTTTAGTTATAATTAGCTCGCCGAGGATGTCGATGGCGACAAACTCCAGCGGAGCTTTGGGCGTGAACAGCTTCATTTCCTTCGTGTTTCTTCTTAACTTCACCCTTTCCCGCGCACATGCGGCGCAATTCTTCGCGACTGCGTAGCAGTCTAGGGCCATCGTAGGCCAGTAAAAATATCTTCTCAATGTCTTGTAAAGTTTCCTGCCTCCTGGGTGTCCTGCCAATTTTGCGTAATGGCTTAACCCTAGGACGCGGTCCCTTACCGATTGTGGTATCACCACTTGTACAAACTCCGCCGCGGTACGGCATAGAGTTCCTTCGAGTTCCTCGGTCTCCATGCTGAACGTTCTCACCTTTCCGGCGTCCATTTCTTCCTTGATGCAGTTGCAGAAGGGGTCGACGGCTTGCTCGCGAATGAGCTCCTCCGGAGTAACAGCTTGGAATTGATCGAAGCGATCAGGGGCGGTCCCCCCCTCAAGAGCGAGGATGTCGTCTAACGCGTCAAATCTGTCCTCGTTCTCCACTGTACCCTCGGCCGGTTCGGCCATAAATCATGGGATTTCGTCGTCGATTTCGTCGACGGTTTCTCCTGCGGTCCGTAATCTTGACAGGGCGTCAGCTTGGCTGTTGGCCTTGCCCTTCTTGTACTTGATTTTGAAATCAAATTCCGAGAGGCGGAGCCTCCATCGGATTAATCTCCCGCTGGGGTCGGTTACGTTCATCAACCACCTCAATGAGGCATGGTCAGTATGCACAATGAAGTGCTCGCCATATAGATATGGTCTTAAAGTCTGTACGGCCCAAATTACCGCTAGACATTCTTTTTCTGATACAGAATAGTTTCTCTCGGCTGCGGCTAACGTTCTTGAAAAGAACCCGATGGGTTTACGTTGCGCATCCGGATGCGTTTGAAATAATGCAGCGTCGATTTGATAGTCGCTTGCATCGGTATCTACCGAGTAGGGTAGGTCCTTCTTCGGCAGCGCCAACACCGGCGGTGCCAAGATGGCGCCCTTGAGCTTATGAAAAGACTTTTCGCACGGTTCGTCGAATCCTTCCATCCGGACCGGTTGTCCCTTCTTCAATAGTTGATTGAGCGGATGTGCGATTTTCGCGTAATGTGGGACAAACTGACGGTACACATTACAAAGTCCCAAGAAGCTTCTGAGTTGGGTCTGCGTTTGGGGGTACCTCACTTGTTCCAACGCCGCGATGCGAGCGGCATCAACCTCCAATGTACCTGGCCGAACGACATGGCCCAGGTACTTGATCTTTTCGACGAAAAATTCGCACTTGCGAAGCTTGAGCTTCACACCTGCCTTCTCCAATACAGAAAGTATTTCATCCACGTGCACGATGTGCTCCTCCCACGACTTGCTAAAAATTATTATGTCATCCAGCTACACCAAACAGCATTTCCAACGGAACGGAGAGAGCAGGATATCCATTGCTCTCTGGAACATCGCTGGCGTGTTGGTTAGCCCGAAGGGCATTCTTGAGAAGCGATACAGACCTGAGTGACACGAAAATGCAGTCTTGTCGCGGTCGCACTCAGGGATAGGCATCTGCCAATATCCCAAGATCGCGTCCAACGCGGAGAAAACCTTAAGGTTTTACACCAATTGGTGTCACCAAGCGAGTCCGGGCACTCGTCCATGCGCGGCAAGGGGTACGTGTCCTTCACCGTCACTGCGTTCAGCCTGCGGTAGTCTACGCAAAAACGCATTGACCAGTCCGGCTTGGGCACCAGTGTAGTGCAATAATGGGCTCTACATGGGGGTGGAACGAGATGAGAATAATTGGATATGACAAGTAGTCCGGGTTCGGGGACACACGTGTGAATAATTGCACAGTTTTAATTTTTAATTATTTTATTTTATTTAGTTAATTAGTTGGCATTAATTTTGCTGACATTAGATTAGATCTAGGATCTAGCGCTGCGAGCTACTGTAATGGCTCCGGCGGGGCGATATATACCTTAGCCCTCTGACCACCAAGTCAGTAAAGGTAACCCGAGTTGCCGGAGTTGAATATCGCCTTGGTCGAAGTCCGTCTTTCCCAAGACGCTCCATTTTACCACAGATTACGTTATCCTTTGCGCTCGGGGGTTCCCTTTCCTTTTCCTTTATTTCACCTATCCTTTTCTATTTCTATCTCTATTTCTATTCCCTTATCATGTGTTGGTTCCACAGGGCCTGATTGCGATCCGCAGTGTGACGACTGGAGTCATCGGGCTCTTGTGTTGGTTCTTTTGTTTGTTGTTGGTGCCATCGGCTTTGGTTGCGACCGGACCGGTGAAGGTGTCTTAGCCATCGGGCGACACGTGGGTGTAGCGCTGCTACTTGTTTACGTTCACCGATGGAGGCCGTTGCGACGACGTCTCCCTCGAAGGTCCTGTTGTGTATACAGGACGGTGTTGGTTCCATCGGATGCAGGTTGCGACCGTTCCGGTGTCGGTACTTTGCCATCGGGCAGTACGGAGGTGTAGCGCTGCTACGTGTTTGCTAATTCCCGTCGGGCTGCGTTGCGACGCCCCCGTCGAAGACCTTATCAAGGGTATAAGGTGTACCAGGCGCTCAGCGAGCATTGGCTTTACGACCCATCCGGCCCGGCTTTTTAATTACCTCCCCGAACTCGCCGAGCAGCTGCCTGTACAAGACTCTACCACCATTCGTCCCGGGCCGGGCATCTTCCTTTTACCCCCCCTATCAGGGACTTGAGCTACTGTGGGCCGCAAACCCGCTTAAAGGGAAAGGGAGAATCGGACACTCCGTAGGGCTGTGCCGTCGGCAACTCTTGTTGGTTGTTGTTTGTTGGTTGTGTTGTCGCTGGACCGTTTGGACCCTGGTTCCGGCCTGACAGGCACATTGCACTACAACCAGCAAGACGGGCGACGCCCATTCTGACTGCGCTGGTTCTATCACTCCTGCCTCTAACATCTTCTGTACTTCTGCATCTTCAATCTCGCAGGCTTTAGGTCCTGCGCGCTACGGAGCTTGTGCGATGGGACGAGTCTCGGGGATCAACTCGATCCGATGGACTGTGGTATTAATTTCACCAAGGGTCCTATCCCACATCCTTGAATACTTCTTCAACATCCGACGGAATTCTTCGCGCAGCCGTTCCGGCACGTAGCTCAGGTCGAGGTCCTCCACGTCCGGCGGTGGGGGCTCAATCCGCTGCTCCGGCTTCGACGATGCCGTCGCAGAGAGCCCACTCGACCGTTCTTCTGGCTGGTCCTCGCGCGCTTGATCCGACGGTTCGCATCTTGTCTCGCCTTTAGGCGTCTTGGTATAATTAGGAAAATTTTCCTTCTTCCTTTCTTGAATTCCGAGAACTTCACCAATGGTGGTTTTGCTTTCGAGCACGGCCCTCGGGTGCGGTAATAATTCTGCCACCACTTGGCCTTTTTGCATCCTGACAGGGTACGTCCTAAAATTCGCAACGAGTAAACGAAATAGCCTGTCAGGCTCAACCTGAACGACACCATTCGTGCACGTCAACCCGTGCCTTTCGTACAACGACGAGTACGGCTGAACCACAACCAAGCCCACCCTCTTCGAGGTGCATTCCACGACGCGTTGCGTCCCTGGCTCGATAGTCGTGGCTCTTGCCACTTTTACCTTAGGGGAAATTCGCACCCCGTTTCCATCATTTTCGTCCTCTCCCGGGACGAGATTCTTCTTCCCTTTTCTCGTCGAGAACCGCCAAACTATTGGAACCTCCGAGAAATCCGCCAACTCAACCGTTTTCTTCCTTGGATAAATTGCTTCCACAAACCGGTCACAGTAGTCCGCGCCTAGAATTAGCGCGACTGCTAGTTTTTCGCATACAATAAATTCGGCTGCGGCCACAAATCTTCCAAGCCTCACAGGCATTTTAATTGTGCCGAGAGTCCAGAGTGGCCTATTGTTCGCGTCGCCAATGTCTTGGGTCGGTCCGTAGGACACCAACATTTCCATTCCTGCCGGAAGTTCCGACCTTCGAACCAAATTCGGTCCGGCACCTGTGTCCAACACGGACAACACTCGACTCATCAATCCGACCGTTGGTCCAATATCCGCGTAAACTTTGTAGTTTTTTCGCGCGAGGACCAAGATCTTGTCAGGACATTCTTGTCGCTTAACCCTGTACCAGGGCCTACGAATTTGATCCATCGGACGATCCCTGTCTCGACTTAGAATTTTCTTGACAACAGTCGGCTCCTTCGGCTTACCCCCTATTTCAACTACCTCCTCGTCAAGGCCTTCCCTTCTTGCTAGAGACGGGGAACGGGACTGAGTCCCGGACGCAGTACGTTGAACCTGCGCCTCTCGTGACTCCCTCGAGATTCCCCTCTCCAGTTTCCCTGCGGCGGCGGGTTCCTTCTCACGTCCGACGAGGCGGGCCCGGCGGCGGGCCCTCTGAAGGGTTGGTTCGACCTCGGCGTTGAAGCACTCGGCGTGCTCGCCGTCTGCGAATGGAACCAATTCTTGACCTTCAGATAACTCGTCGATGGTATCCCTAACCTCTCCCTCGGAGACAACGCTTCATAATTTTCCAAAACTCGGTGCATTTCCCGGAGGGAAAGAATGCACGTTGGCGCGGCGTGCCCCTTTTCGAAACAATGATAGCACACCAGTCCGTGCTTCTTGACGGGATATTGCGGCCTAGGTCCTCCACGGGCCGGTGGCCTTCCTTGATGTTGCGGCCTTCACATCCAGCCTGGCCTTCGAAACGTTGTACCCGTGTCTTCCATCGGAATGCGCGGCGCCGGCGTGTGGCCGCGCCCCCGGAACATCATCACGGGATCCGTGGGCTCCGAAAACGACTCCGTCGTGTGTGTGGGCGTCGGTAAAGTTGACGACCCGCTTGCCCCGTAGTCCTCGTGTCCGTAGCCCTCCGATGGCTCAATAAAATTGCCTTCGGCTACCAATGCTCCTTCATAATGATTTTCGCTGCTTCCGTGCGCACCGCGTTCATCTGACGCGGAGATTGACTCGGCTAAGTGGACGGCGGCGTGACCTTTACGACCGGGATAAGAAGCCCTCGGCTTCTTCCCCGCCCTGAACGTCGACGGCGTCTGAATCGTGACCTTCTTGGTCTTCTTGTCCTTGGCGCGGCTCGCCGAGCCATGCGCCTTTGCGTAATTTAGCAATCTCAAAAATGAGACATCTCGGTTATCTTGTCGATACTGCGAGACCATGGGCTTAATACTGGCATCTAGCCCCTCGATGAACATGGTCATCTGCTCCTCCATGGAATAAACATTCCCACAGCGATTACTTGCGTCTGTTAGGCGAATGTAAAATTCCATCTCGTCTTCAGACGGTCTTTGCTGAACTTCTCGCAATGCGAGCACGGCTTGACGGATCGACTCGTCGGTTGCGAAACTCCTCAACAACCACTGTACGGCCTCTGGCCAAACAGACACCTTTACGTGATGAGACCCGGCCGTCTGAGACACAGAAGTGTACTGTCTCAAGGCGATGCCGCTTAGAAATTGGGGCAACAAGCGGATCGCTTTCCCCTCGTTCATTTCTTGAGTATCAAACTCTTGAACTAATTTTGCCAAAAAATCCAACACAAGGACCCCATCCTCACCTGTGAACGTGTTGTCCTTCTTCACCTTAGGCGGAATATCTCTCCTGATTTTTCGCACGGCGGTCCGCCGGGAAGTTGACAAATATGTCTGCGGGTTCCGCAAGCGGTACGTTCGGTACGAAAGTAATTTCTTGAAGAGGTAGTTGGTCGGATTCAGCTCCTCCAACTCCTCCCATCGCGGCCCGCACCGCGTTGCGACATCTTCGGGCTCCGCGTCCTGTCTCTCCGCGAGGCGGACGAAGTGATTCCGCCTCGTCTGGAAATTTTTTTCTTGCTTGACGAAATTCCGTTTCCTTCTTCTGAACGGCGTTCGGAATCGCCCGAATGGTTCGACGAACCGCCGTTACCATCTTCGGAGGGACCAAGCGACTCCGACTGTGAGTCGCGGTTCTCCGGATCGTCACTACAGTGACTCTTGCTTCTACGTCGCTTGTCCTTCTTCGATCGACGATCGCCTTCTCCACCCGGAGGGAACGCTTTGGGTCCAATTCTTGCTGCGCTGGGCCGGTGGCCTGCTCAAGATCCTTGAGTCGCTGCGCGGCGTGATCGAACTTGTCTTCAATGCTGGTTCGGAACTGGCCTAAGGACTCTAGCGCTTGATTCGCTTCGCGCATTGCGTCCTGGACCGAAAGCTTCAATGAAGCGAGGACCTTCGGCTTGATGCCGTCGGTCCCGTCGCCATTATTTTTCTCGACGTGTCCCACGCGCGCGGTCAGCTCTTCCAACGCCGTGTGGAACTCGGAATTTTGCAACTCAAGTTGGTTCTGCACGAGGCCTAATTCGGCCTCGAGATTTTTCTTCGCTTCTTCGCGAATTTCGCTGCTCATCTTCTCCAACTTCTCGTCGAGGTCAGTCTTGTCGGCGGCAATCCCCGTAGGGGATTCTTGATCTCCGGGATCCGTGGCCGTAT